CTCCTAAATCACTCGTACGTACAACTTAAGAACAAATCTGTGCGTACCAACGGTTCTTACATGAGGCCCATTGTTTCTATGCAGGAAACACCAAGTAGAGCTCAGGACTGAGACGGTCTGGATTTTAGTCAAAGTTCATTTTAACATGTGGACCTCAGAGAAAACGAGTTATTGGATCAGTAATGGACCAGTAGAGACCAGGTCTATAAAGTCCAGGTCTCAGAGTCCAGGTCTATAAAGTCCAGGTCTCAGAGTCCAGGTCTATAAAGTCCAGGTCTCAGAGTCCAGGTCTATAAAGACCAGGTCTCAGAGTCCAGGTCTTACAGAGTCCAGGTCTCAGAGTCCAGGTCTTACAGAGTCCAGGTCTCAGAGTCCAGGTCTCAGAGACCAGGTCTATAGAGTCCAGGTCTCAGAGTCCAGGTCTCAGAGTCCAGGTCTCAGAGTCCAGGTCTCAGAGTCCAGGTCTCAGAGTCCAGGTCTTCTGACCTTGTACTTGCGGAGGATGGAGGAGTGGTTCATGATCCTCTCAGTGTCGACCCCGTCTCGAGGGACCACCACCATCCCGAAGTCCCCGACGATCACCTCCATCTGAAACCACAGAAACGTTTGGGCTTTAAGGTGAGTCTGAGCAGACCAGGTCCCGGTCAGACCTGCAGGTCCCTCACCTGACTAACATGAAGGTGAGGAGGAGCTTTCCGCTCAGGAAGAAACAGTTTGATGAATTTAATCAGATCAGAAACTGTGCAGCTGTGATTCTGTCATTCAGCCAGCAGGTGGCGCCACACCTCAGCTCTGTGTTTTAACAGGTCAGAAACAGGAAACATGCTTCTACACGTCACATCTCTGACGTCTTCATGTCTTCATGTCAGATCCACACAGTTCATCTGACATTTTATGGTTCATTTCTATGTTTTTATGCTCCGTTTATAAAAAATGTGCATAAAAACATTCATGGAAACAACTCCAGGCAGCTAACATTGTTCTTCTTCAACACTTTCAAATCTCTGAGTAAACAGACAGTTTTATTAGACTAAGGGGCGGGGCTACATGTAGGGAGGCAGCACTACATGACAGAGGGGGCGGGGCTACAGTGTGCTTACATCACTGTCCTTCCAGAGGCCAGGGATGCAGAAGGACTCCAGGAGGTCACTGCCACACAGGAGCAAGATGCGTAACTCTACAGATGACAGACAGGCAGGAGGAAAGAGACAAACAACACGTCCTCGGTAAACAACATGTTTACTCTGTAAACATCACCTTTACCTGTCCGTAAACACCTGGTTTACTCGGTAAACGTGACGTTTACTGGATCCAAAGGAGCCAGAAGGAGTTCAGACACAGCAAGAAGGAAAACCAGAGACACAAAGTTCTGGTTCTGGTTCTGGCCCCAGACTCACCGATCTCCTCGTATCTCATGGCGGTCCCCAGGTTGGCGTTTTCATCTGTAAAAGCAACATTTAATGTTGGTAAATAAAAACAACGTGTTTGTTTATCTGAACGTTTCAGTTTTCAATCAAAACTTGTGTTTTAATTAACAGAATGAAGAAGTTTATGAAAATAAAAAACAGGAAAATTTTCCAAAGTTAAAAACTTTCTTTTATTGTTTCTAAAAGTTAAAAATGTTCAGATTTCACTTCTTGTGTTTTCAGCTCAGAATCAGTCGAACCTTTTGTTTTTCTTTAATCGTGTAAAAATACTTTTTCTCACCGACAAACGTGAAGCGCTCCATCTGAGGACGAACGCAGCAGATTTTACCCAAATTCTCACTGATTTTTCCCCAAAGTTTGACTGAAACAGAAAGAAAAACGATTCATTACAGCAAGAATTCAAATATTTGATAATAACACTGTAATAAACAGATAAGAGGTTATTACCTCTTATCTGTTTATTACAGTGTTATTATCAAATATAACCAGGTGACAGAAGCACCAAATCTGGATTAAAGAAGTCAAAAACTGAAACAAATATAAGAAATGATTGCTTATTATATAGTAATAACTTAGTAATAAGAAAACAGAAACTGTTTATTTTGGACCAAAATAAAGAGCTGATAATAAAATGACATAAATGTAAAAATTATTAAAACAAAATTACCTGATGACCTCAGAGTTTTATACTTTATAACTGCTGATCATCAGGATAACACCTGTTTATTACACCTGTATTACACCTGTAATTACACCTTTATTACACCTGTATTACACATGTAACTACACCTTTATTACACCTGTATTTCACCTGTATTACACCTGTATTACACCTGTGTTACACTGTAATTAACTTTATTACACCTGTATTTCACCTGTATTTCACCTGTATTTCACCTGTATTACACCTGTATTACACCTGTAATTACACCTTTATTACACCTGTATTACACCTTTATTACACCTGTATTTCACCTGNACCTGTATTACACCTGTATTACACCTGTAATTACACCTTTATTACACCTGTATTACACCTTTATTACACCTGTATTTCACCTGTATTACACCTGTGTTACACCTGTGTTACACTGTAATAACACACATGCTCTGATGTTTGAGGACTCACTAGTTGTGGGTTTGTGGTTGGTGTTGCTGTGGTTCTGGTAAATGGGCGGAGTCTGGTTCTGCGGCTGACCAATCACAGGCGTTGAGGATGGCGTGTTGACGTTGGACAGGATGCAACCGGTGACTCTCTGACCAACAGCAAGACAAACAGAAATCAGCTGAAACCTTTACAAATCAGCTGAAACTTTTTTTAAATCAGCTGAAACCTTCACAAATCAGCTGAAACCTTCACAAATCAGCTGAAACCTTCACAAATCAGCTGAAACCTTCACAAATCAGCTGAAACTTTTATAAATTAGCTGAAACTTTTATAAATCAGCTGAAACTTTTATAAATTAGCTGAAACTTTTATAAATCAGCTCAAACCTTCATAAATCAGCTGAAACTTTTTTAAATCAGCTGAAACTTTTATAAATCAGCTGAAACCTTCATAAATCAGCTGAAACTTTTACAAATCAGCTGAAACTTATAAATCAGCTGAAACTTTTATAAATTAGCTGAAACTTTTATAAATCAGCTGAAACCTTCACAAATCAGCTGAAACTTTTATAAATCAGCTGAAACTTTTATAAATCAGCTGAAACCTTCTTTACAATAAAATATTTCAGCTGTTTGTCATTTTATTTTCATCTTCATCAGTCACACAATCATCTGTCTCACCTTCATCAGGTCTCGGTGATGCTCCAGCACGCTGCAGGTGGTCTGCCAGGTGTCCTGGTAACACTCCCAGGGGTCCACCCTGCAGGAGCCAGAACCAGGATCAAGACTTTAGAACCAGGATCAAGACTTTAGAACCAGGATCAAGACTTTAGAACCAGGATCAAGACTTTAGAACCAGGATCAAGACTTGAGAACCAGGATCAAGACTTCAGGTTCTGGTCTCATCAGTGTTGATCAAACGTCTGCAGATGTTTTTAAACTCAGACATTTATAAATAACAAATATTAAATGAACTTTTAGCTCAGAGATTCAAACATTTGGTTTATGATCAGGTTTCATTTAGACTGAAATCAAAACAAACTATAAGTATTAAAAATAATAATTATTACACTAAAATAAACTTGTTCACAACTCAAATAAAACACAATAAAATCATGTAAATAAGCTCTGATTGGTTGATGGATTCTCACCTGATCCAATCAGACGACTGAACAGCCAGCTGACACATGGTGAGGCGATGTCTGCTCGACACCAGGCCCTGCACAACAACAACATAGGTAAACAACAAGGCAGGTAGACAACAACAAGGCAGGTAAACTACAAGGCAGGTAAACAACAACAAGACAGGTAAACAACAACAAGACAGGTAAACAACAACAAGACAGGCAAACAACAACAAGACAGGTAAACAACAACAAGACAGGTAAATAACAACAAGGCAGGTAAACAACAAGGCAGGTAGACAACAACAAGACAGGTAAACAACAACAAGACAGGTAAATAACAACAAGGCAGGTAAACAACAAGGCAGGTAGACAACAACAAGACAGGTAAACAACAACAAGACAGGTAAATAACAACAAGGCAGGTAAACAACAAGGCAGGTAGACAACAACAAGACAGGTAAACAACAACAAGACAGGTAAATAACAACAAGGCAGGTAAACAACAAGGCAGGTAGACAACAACAAGACAGGTAAACAACAACAAGACAGGTAAATAACAACAAGGCAGGTAAACAACAAGGCAGGTAGACAACAACAAGACAGGTAAACAACAACAAGACAGGTAAATAACAACAAGGCAGGTAAACAACAAGGCAGGTAGACAACAACAAGACAGGTAAACAACAACAAGACAGGTAAATAACAACAAGGCAGGTAAACAACAAGGCAGGTAGACAACAACAAGACAGGTAAACAACAACAAGACAGGTAAATAACAACAAGGCAGGTAAACAACAAGGCAGGTAGACAACAACAACACATGTAAACAACAAGGCAGGT